TGTCTTAATTTATCCTTGTCACGTTTCATTTTACCACATTTTTTCACGATGTAGAATGTCCCTCAACAACTTTGCTCGTGCAGCAATGACACTCTTTGTACATTTTTTTCCAGTCATCTCATGAATACTACCTGAAATTTCCTAATTTTACTTTTTATGGAGGACGTAGACTCAAGACAACGATTTTCTTTTTCTCTTTCTGAACTTTGGATATGGTCACGGCTTTGAGAATTCAACTGAACCAAAAATTCGTTGCCTTATAAACGAACTGGAATAATCACGAAGAAGTTTTCAACAGTGCAGATTTATTCACCTTTTCAGTGACTGAAATAGGCAAACAAATTCAAAAAACATGAGGCTGGAGATGCAGCCAGAATAAAAAACAACACGCCACACTTTAATTCAAATTTCTAAAAATGAAGTGTCACCATAAAAGATTTCTGGTTCATTACTGCTTAAGACATTTAAAAGACTTAACACGTGGTTTCAATGAGAAAGTATTAATTGTTTCTCGAAGTATTGCTGGTTTGTAGTGACGTCACTGTTACCATGTTGGTGGCCAAGAACAAAAGCATTTCTCTCCTCTGGGAACTAAACCCTATTTTCATGTAAATTCTTCGAGAGAAAATTCTACTATATTGACCCCAAAATGGCCGCCTTGTCACGTGGTTGCAAACCAAGAATTGAAAAGTCTTTATTCCCCGAATGAAACGCAGCGAACAGCACGAGTTACGAAATGTTGCCAGGATGATTATCCAAGAAATGGTCAAAAAAAAAAAATGTCGAACTCGCGTTTCCGATCTTCAATGTTGTGTATTTCACATAGTTTTAGTAGTTATGACAGAGAGAGAAATTGAGCAAAGATGCACATTTGAATCATTGGTAAGTACTCTCGGCGACTCGTCATCACCGTTTACCTGACTTTTTAAAATTTCTAAGTTCTCTAAGAGAATATCAAAACCTGCCTGGTTTCAGGGCGAATTTGTACTTACAATAAATATAATAAAGGTTATATATTTGTTGTTTTACGTGCTAATGGTATTCATACGATAAAAATAAAGGGCTGTCTATAAACAGGTCATTCCCACTTGCCTCAACCTCTTTCTCAAAACGAGGTGCAAAGTCTGATATTAGAAGTTTGATTTAATCTTTTTGCTCTTTCGCCACCTTCACGTTTTCCATGATACACCTTGCAATTACCCCCCTCCCCACCCCCCAAACGTTTGCACAAGAATTGTTTTGAGTTTCTCCTGGGTGTTACAGTGGTAAATTTTGGAAAGTAAAGATGGTCAGTTTTCATTGTGAAAACGGGGAATAAGAGGTTTTGCACTTGGCCACGTTTTCATCAATAGAAAATGATAAATGTTGGTCAAGAAATTTTTTTCAAAACGATTAGCAGAGGGCAGCGGGAAGCTATTTATAAAATTAATGTTTTTGGTCCTGAATCTCCAAATATTCAATTAGCTACTTCGTCTTTTCTCCTGTCATAGATAAATCTTCCTTTCTTGCATGATAATGCAAAATTTTTTGTCATTTATGAGTGCATTTTATTTATTTCTGTATTTTCGCGCATGCTATTTGTGAAAAGTGCTCTAAGCTTTCGACATTAAGAAAGGAAAAACTGAAATCAAACAAGAATAAGCATATTCTTTTAGTGATTTTGTCTCTTGCACTATAGCTATATTAAACCATGCAGGTAGCTGGCAAACAGCAAACGGCACCAGAGACAATTTTAAGATCTCACCCGAAAAGTCACTCACCATTAACCTGTTCCTTACGAGTGTCAATCACGTTTACACGAAACCTAAACCCCAACTTTTCTGTGTACGAAATCCTATACGGTGACCATTCAAATGAATGTTTTTCAGACGTTCTTTCACATGGTACCATTTGTTGTTTAGTATCTCTAAACTAAAATTTCGTTTTTAGGAATAAACGGTTTGGCCCTCATATTGGACCTGTACGTGAAGCCCTATAGGCACCGCCCAGCGCCCAGTTTGTTCTGTCACATCGATCGGGCACGTGCCGAGTGTGACAGAGACATAAAAGAACAAAAGCAGAATTGGCTCCCATAATTGTATCACGCAAGCTTTGCCTTAGGAACAAAGTGAAATTAATCCTATACATTTCTGTCTTTCGGTATTTTGATTACGTATAGAATCAAAAATAATAGACGCTTTCAAGACGGAAGACGAGAAATTTAGACGGAACCTTTTTGACTTCGAATATTTAATACCGGCGTGAGTGTAAATTTATTGACATGTGAAGTGCAATGAAAACAAGAATTTGTCAGCGATCTTTAATTGCCACTGTTTTTAATTTTTCTCACTCACGCTTCAATATTACCTTATTATCTCTCTAGTATTCTGTTTTGTCCTTATCAAAAAATTGCCCATTGGTTATATCTTATCTCCCGAAGGCAGTGTAATCGTCGAGAAAAAAACCTCAACTGTCAATCCGGCATTGTTGAAAAAGTATTATATTAAAAGCTGTTGTTTTGCCTTCTTGAAGATTCGAAACGAAATATCAAGCAGTTTTGAAAAGAAATCTTCAGCTCGAAAGTGAGCGAGCCAAAAATATCAGCGAAAGGACAAATTAAATATCACTCTATCACTGAATATTATATTATTCCTGTATCAAGCACTTCACCATCTCGGATATTACAAACATTTGTACATACCCAGATAGGAAAACTCTCCACTCCATCAGATGGATTTGTTTTTTGTTTCGATCAGAAAGCCATCCCCTCATAATTGCTTCTCCCCTGGGCCTGTATAAGGTATCTTTGTACAAACAGACGTCTTGAAGTTCAAAACGTCCGCCCGACGTGAGGACACAAAGAAATCAATATGGAACACAAGTTACACATGCAGCATCAAATGAATAAACATTTTTTTTGAAGTCGTTCATTTGCTAATCAAAATGCTAATAACTGATATAGTGGACAGGTGACAAGCCAACATTCCCGCTACAGGTTGTTTGTGGCTAAGTTAATCGTTCTTCAAGCAACAAAATGACGCAAATTCTACCAACAATTCAATAATTTTGAGGGGTGCTTTCTCTGAGGTTTACTATTTTAGTTACCTTTCCCAAAGTCAATCTCTTTCAATACCAAAGACGAAAATTAAAAATTTCGGTACTCGTATTGTAGACGGCATTTAATTAAAATAATACGATAAAATCCAAAAGTGACGCTACCGGTAAGTGAGAATTTCTCAACAGAGAAGTTTCTTACACTGCTTATTTGCTTTCGCTAGCAGCATTACAAGCGTGAACCCGCTGTGTTGTTATGGAAACTGTTAGACCACGTGACTAGCTAAACACTCTTCACGCTTGCAATTAACAAAAACAATTTAGAATTTAACCAATCGTAGCTCGTGTTGGATCTAAAAGATACACAAAGGACGAAAAGACCAGTTGCGGCCGAAGAACACAGCGTTCCCTAGCGTTAGCAAGACAAGTTTCCTGGACGAAAATTTTATCAGATATGGGATCCAGTTTTTCTGCCCCCAAGCGTTCGACAAAACTCCGTTATTTTACGTTTTTAAAAAGGGAGAATTCTCGAGGAGAAAAAAGGTAATGAGATATAATTTAAAGAAGTGCGCAATTTTTATAAATTGCCGATGCAGCAAAGCGACAGTCCGAAACTTATGTTGTTCTTAATGACCGGAATAGAATATCTCGAGAAAAATATAACGTTGTCATAAACGGGAATATGTAAACGAAAACTAAAAATGGTAAAGAAGGGCTAAAAGTGATAAATAGATCATTCGGAAATATAAAAACTTGAAAACGAAGCGATACAGTAAACGAACGAAATTTTGTTCGGCCGGAAAGAGACTTACTTTCGTTACACTAAGGAAGGAGAAGGAACCAGTTTGTTGAAGTGGGATCGAAACGAAGAAGGACCTTTCGATATAGCACTTTTTGCCTTCATCATATAGATGTTATAAACAGAGCTTTTCTCAAGTAACGAAAAATCTTCCGTTCAACTCTGATATATTAAAACCACTGGAACTTACCAACTGAATAATTCGCGAGTATTGACACAGACAAGGACAATATATAGACAACACAATAATAGTAAATTAACAAACAACCTGTTGTTTATATTGTAGGATATTCTTATGATTTGCGGGTGTCTGTCTAACAGGTCGGACAAAAGTAATATTTCATTAGCATTTTTGCGTTTAGGGGGATATTCACTGATATCGGACTATTTGTCATTTCTTTTTTTTAGCTTCTTGGCAAAGTTTAAAAAGAGCTTTCATCGGTGAAAATGTTTTTCAGAAGGGCAGTATCTCAGCTGATATTCATGAATATTTCTGCTGGTAATGAATTTATAAGAAAAGCGTAATTTACAGTAGTACATCTGGATAATGGCTAAAAAAACATTTGCATGACTAAATGACTTCAAGACGTCATTTTGGTTAGTTTCCGCTGATGAAGGAGGAGTTCTGTTTTTAACCGTATACAGATTAGGGTGTATCAGTCAAGGTTCAGATGAAAATGTTCCAGAACGATTACCATAACTATTAACAGGTCTCACTTGAAACATCTAAAAGTGTGAGAAACATTTTCGGTTTGCAGCGACTTGCACATGTTAAAGTTAGCTCAGCGAACTCAACATTTTGCCCAAAACTAGTTGCACAGAATGAATGCGGCCCGATGAAGAATAGCCCAGGAAACTAGAGAAATACCGACTGAAGAGAAACTTCATTATTTTTATTCATAACACATGTTATATCAACCACACTAATCATGGCGGTTTATTGAACGGATGTTTGGACAACCGTACCTGATTTTACCATTTTCTGCTTAAAAGGTTCTGCTTTTTGGCGGTGGAAAATAGAAGAGTTTTGTTTGTTCAGCGTTTACATCAACTAATGTTACAAAGCGGAAAGATGTGAAGTTTTTATTCTATGTTTTGACAAGATTATTGTACGCTAAAGAAAGCGCAAAGCGTGTGGAAAACTTAGTAGTGAGCAGGTGAAGATACTGGGTAATTTCCCCTTTTCGTTCCACATATGTTAACGAATGTCTTTTTTTAACAGCTTGCCAGATATTTCACAAAAATACACAGAGGAAAAATGGTGTTATTTGCCAGACGCTCTTCTACTGAGAATTTTCACGCATCTGGACATGGAAGATCTATCGCGCATGTCAAGAGTCTGTAAACAGTGGTACCGAGTGAGCCTGGACGCTAATTTTTGGAGAAGCATTGATTTCTCCCTTTGTAAGCGGAAGCATATTCGTGACATCACTGTTATTTGTTTAGTTTCACGTGTCAGCTCGTCGTCAATCATGCATATAGACATATCAGGACCCACTTGCTCCCGTATTACAAACATAAGCTTATTTCACATAGCGCGCCAGTGCCCAAAACTTCGCAAACTCTACATCTCCAATAGTAACCGTGTGACAAGCACCGGAATAGAGATGATCGCACGACATTGCCCTTATATAGAAGTCCTCGGCTTATCCAAGTGTCCGATGATACTAAACCGAGGTCTTGGTTTCGTGGTGCGCCGCTCAAAGATGCTTTGCGAGCTGGACGTTAGCGGCTGCGTGTGGGTCACTGACGGTGTTCTTGTGGAAATTTCCCAACAGTGTCGTTACCTAACATATCTAAACATCGAAGGATGCAAAAAAGTGAGCGACACTGGTTTAATCTCACTCGCAAACTTCTGCTCTAGTTTAAAGCACATCAATCTACGAAACACCAAGCAAATTACAAATGATGGCATGCAGCAATTTTTGAGTAAGCTGCCTGATCTAGAAGGCCTGGAAATAGGTTTGGTGCGGAAAGGTCGTGGAACAGCAGCAGTGTTGAATATTGTCGCAACACACTGCACGAATTTGACCTTTTTTGATTACCAGGATTGTGTTCCCACTGCGGTTGAGGATGTGCTTTGTCAGATCGCTGAACAATGTCAAGGGTTGCGTTACCTCGGAGTTCGACATCTGCGCGAGACTCTGCCAAACAATTTGGTGCTCTCTTTAACCGAGCGCTGTCCCAGTCTCCTCAAAATTGACGCATCCTTGAGATTTTATATATGAGTTAGGTTATTGCTTGTTACATAAACTTGGTTGTTTTAGTTCACGCGAACGTTTCAGCTGTTTCCGGAATAGACAATCTGCACTACGGAAAGTCTCGCCATTTTATATCTAAATAGACAACACGAAAGATTTTCTATACATTTTTTATTTGAAATAAAAATCTTCTGCAATTCATAAAAGCCTTATTATTACAAGAAGGAGGTGCTCCATATTTTTTATTCAATAAACGGGTCGAAATTAAGAACCACCCTGAAGGGTCGAACACCAAAAAATGGTATAATTGCCCATTTTTAACGGATTTTTAACCCTAAAAAGGTCAACTAGAATTTTCGGGAGCTTTTTTTCTGGCTGAAATTTTTGAAAAGGACAGTTTTGATCCCTATAATTTTCGGATGACTAGACTTACAGCTAAGAAATCCGAACAGATGAAAAACTTCTAGGGGATAAAAATATGCCTATATCTACCGTTTAAATACTAAAATACGTTTAACAATGCTATGTTTAAGTGGTTTTGAACTATATTCTCGTTGGGTGCCCCTGAAAATTTCTAGATGCCCTTTCCATTCATGTACAATATAATTTTCGAGGCCTGTCTAATAAATTTCCTACGATTGACTGAACTTTATTTTTTCACATCTCACTACCCATGCTGGGCTATTTTTCGTAGAAAAAAAAAAACTTAAAATTTTCGGATTCAAAAATGTAACGGAGAGAGGAAATAGAAAAATTCTCACTTTCGTAAAACGTGAAATTGCATCTAAAATTTTCG